TGACGCAACCACATAACCTCATTTTCCACATTCTTTGATGAGCACTAGCCTATGTTAAAGATCTATGCGGTGATACTGTACTTAGTACCAATAGTTCTAGATTCTATATCTGTCTAGAAAATCCATATGCTTCATCCTGTTATAATGCCTATTATTACTACTGCCTTCACTGGGGATATGAATCCATAGGCTCAACTGAAAGTGGATTCTGGACTAATCATGGTGATTATATATTTATTAACATCACCTGGACAGGCAAGTACACCTGGACTCAGATGACCATCAGGGACCCACAAACCTTCCCAGTACTCCCAGAAGGCCAAACATGGGGATTTCAACCACACCAGGTACCTTCCTTTTACAAAAACTACATGTTCTTAACTTTACACAAAAAGTTATTCCCCAATATGCAGTCTATACCACTGAAGCTCTTTCCTTTGTCCTTGCCATGCTCCAATTCCCCTTCCCTACCACAACTCCTCAACAACACATAGGTGTCCAATATAACTCACCTTTCTAATTGCTGGCTTTGCCTGCCCCTACAACACGATTTATATATGCCATATTCAGTCACCTGAGAAATATTGGTCCCTCAAACATATGCACAAGCACAAACTATCAGGCCTCTAACTTTAGCATCAGGAAAATTATTGCCAAAAAATATTTCTTGTATCCTCCACTCAGGTCAAACTAAATGACACCTATGGTGGAGTTTCTTGAGCCATGTACCCATGTACAAAAGACAACAAACATCACCAGCCCCATGTGCCGGTCTTATGGAGAATTCTTAGTGGGCTTGGAGAATTCACCTGTCTCCCTTTTGCATAGCAGGGTTCCTGCAAACTGACACTAGTGGCCCCACAAGTGACACTACAAATAAAATCTAAAGTCATACAAAGACACAGATTAACTGTCACACAGTGTAACATCCAGGACTGTACCCCCAGTTCTGACAGGGATTGGCATCTTCTCAGCTGGGGGAATTGGAATGGGTACTTACTTCTGTACTCAGTTGTCTTATGATTTAAAAAGCTCTGTTCAAAAAGTGTCAAGAACTATGGATTCCCTTCAAGACTAGATTACCTCTATAGCAGCAGTTGTCCTCAAAAACCATCTCATCCTCTATGTACTGAGTGGAGAGAGGTGGTACCTGTGCTGTGTTGGGGGAAGCATGTTGTTTCTTTGTAAACCAGTCAGGTATGGTAAAGGGCCCAATTCACAATCTCTGGAAAGTTTATAGCAAATAGAGAAGAAAGAGTTGATGGGTATAATAGTCATGGTCCACCTGATGGCCTTCCCTAGATCCATGGGCACCTATAATAGTACCTATCATAGGTCCACTAATCACAATTGTTTTTTCCTGCTTGTAGCATCCTGCTTTTTTTTTTAAATCAGTATCAGGGATCAAAGTCATGACTGCCTGCTTGCAAGGCAGGTGCTTATGCCGCTGAGCTAAATCCCCAGCCCCAACATCCTGCTTTTAAACTCCTCTTGAAGTTTATCCACTCCAGGATGTAAGCTTTCACACCTAGAGAACTTCTAGTCATGACAGAATCCCCCAGGATCGGCCTCTATATGGAAGCTAATCATCATTCCACGTCTTGTCATAGCCCCTACCGCAATGCCTCTTCTCAGCAGGAAATAGCTAGAGAGAGACATGTCCCTTAACAACCAAATAATGGGAATGGTGGGTTTTTCCCATGTGTAAGTTAACATGGTGCCAGACAGCACCCTCCCTCAGTACTTGTCGGTGTCACTCCCGGCCGGCAGGAAGGACACACAACAAAGTCTGGCAGTGGACAACCTTTTCTTTTATTTTCCTTCTCCGTACAGCCTGCCCCGGGAATCCTCCCGGCCGAAGCCTCTGTTGGTCCGCTCCCCGCGGCTCCTTGCGTGCTTCTCCCTACAGTCTGTCCCGAAGCCTCTACCGGTCCGCTCTCCGCGGCTCCTTGCGTGCTTCTTCCTACAGTCTGTCCCGAAGCCTCTACCGGTCCACTCTCCGCGGCTCCTTCTGTGCTTCTTCTGCTTCTTCTGCTTCTTCTTCTTCTTCTTGGCGGGAGAGGCACTCACTTTTATAGGATTCAGTGGCCAACCAGTTCAAAGCGCGCGATGCGGGCTGATTGGCTAACATCAGTTGTTGCTAGGCAGACTATCTTACAGGGCGGGTTGTGAAGCAGGAGATCTTACAGGGCGGGTTGTTTACCAAGCAGGAAGCAGGAGATCTTACAGGGCGGGTTGTTTACCAAGCAAGAAGCAGGAGATCTTACAGGGCGGGTTGTTTACCAAGCAGGAAGCAGGAGATAAGCGCCATCTTAGCACACTCGATGGGAGGGGTAATCTAGCTCAGGCTTTGCTCTTTCCTACAGGCCTCACGTCCGCCAAGTAAGGCGACCGGGCTCGGCCGCGGCTCCCAACAAGTACTGACTTTCACTTTCTTCTTGCAAACCCAAAAGTTGAACCTCCTGCTTTTCACAGGCATGCCAATGCTTCCCCAATCAGTTGTCAATATGTCATTCTGCCTACCCCTGTCAAGATCATAAAAGTGAGTAGTTTTCTTTGCTGTCCTCAGAAATGCTTGCATCTTTTCGGTAGCCCCTTGTGCCCACAATAAAGTCCTCTTTTCTTTCATTCTCTGTTTTCTCTCCTTTTGTCTCTCACATCAGAGGACCAAACAGAAAGCAGGAGAAAGACTTTCTGTGTTTCTAAAATGCTTGCCTAAATTACTGCAGATGTGAAGTTCAGGAATGAATAATTCATCCAAGGTCATTCAGCTGTTAAATGGTACCACCAGTGTTAGATCCAGTTTTGACTCAAAATCCAACACTATTTTTTCCATCTGCAGACAGTCTCCTGCGATCAGCATTGGAGAATAAGGTAGGAAAGCCATACTAGCTCCTCAATAGTACAATCCTTTTAATTGCCTTAGAAAATATATTTATTTTGCAGGAAAGCAGTCATCCACACTCACGTCCTAAGTTTCTTCCAGATATCTGTGTATTTGAGTTTCCCCCGCCAATAGATTTGCATTTTCCTCTGAGGAATCACTTGTTTTGGTTATTTTTGAGTGTATTTCTCACCTCTCAAAAGCCTTTTCTATTAATTTCTTATCCTCCTCTTAGATTAATACCACCTCCTAAATTTGCACGTTCTTTGACTCTATCATGACCATGTGCTATATTGATAAGTCATGAGTGAAATTTTCCCTGAGACAAAGATCTGACACGAAGCCAGCAGGACATTCTTTTACTTTTTTCAAAAATATCTGTTGATCCAGAGACTTTGAATTATCCTATTTTAGGATGCTATGTAACCCAGGTTGGCTTTGAACTCCAGGTAATCCTCCTGCTTTAGAGTCTCCGGGCCACTACACTCAAGAACGGATTTCTCTGTCAGACCTTTCTTTACTTGGAGTTCCCCATCCATAAATCTGATAAGAGCATGGAGTGAGAATTAGAAGTGGTTAAAAGGTTAAGTGGTTAAGAGGGGCTATAAGTTTTCTCTGTAGACCACTACAGTCCTTGGTAATATCATATAGATATTGCTGCATTCTTTAGTAGCTTAACTGTATTTATTATTATTTTTTGTGGCTGGTAGGTTTACTTGTAAGTATGAAAATGAAACCTTGTTTTGCTGTTTTTCTTTTTTTTTCAAACCAGAAACAGGTGCAACCAGTAACAAGAAATAGAAGCAATTGATTATTGAATATTTTATCCAGTATATCCAAGTACTATCATCTCAACACACGACTAATGTGAAACCATGCATGAGTTATTTTTATTTTCATCAGCACACCTTGATTGGGACTGGCCACACAGCAGCGAGCTCTTCTGTGGCCGGCGGTACACTGTACAGCACAAACAAGCTCACATTTCGGAGGCCTGCTGGTGTCCGGCATCCAGATTCTTTCATGTGGGGCTGCCTGTCCTTCTCCCCTCAACGCTCAGGGGGAGTGCATCTTGGGGCGCTGCCGCAGCTGTTAGGCATGCCCCTGCTTTCCGCTCCTGTGCAATTAACCTGTTTCTGTTTCGTTGTAAACACGGAACAGCTTACTTAGAATGGCCTCATTTATTAGCTATTTATTATCTAGCTTTGCCATCAGAATGTCGGCTTCATTCGAGCAGGGATTTTAAAACCCGCTTTTATTTCCGGGATCCCCTTGGCCGCGCACCATTTCTGGGGCGTACTCGGGAACCGCTGTGGGAAGCAAGACTCCGCTTCTGAGGCCAGCTGAAGAGCGCAGCGCGGCCGCCGCACAGGTGGGCGCGTGGGCGCCGGACGGGTGGGCCGCGCCGCCAGCCGCCCCGCCCGGGGTCCCCTCGGTCGCCGGCGGAGGGAGCCGCGGGGCTGGAGATTGGGGCCCAGGCGGGGACCCTCGCGGCCCAGGTTGCACTCCGCCGCCCGCGCTCTCAGCCGCGCCCACGCTTTGCGCCCGCCGCGCTCCCGAGGACCCGCGAGGCTGGGGGCGGGCGCCAGGGAGAGGGAAGGGAGGGTTGCCGCCGGGGCGGTGGGCGGACCGGCGCTTTGTGTTGGGCGGGCGGACGCGGGGCCCCGGGCGGAGGCCGCTTCCCGCCTCTGCTCGTCCCTCGCTCCCCGGGCCGCGCGGCAGTGGAGGAGCCGCCAGTGCGTGTGGCCCGTGGGGTGCGTGGCGCGGGGGCGCTGCTGGCGGGCTCCCTGCGAGGGCCTCGCTCTTCCGCCGCGCCGGGTGGTGGCCGGGTGGGCGTGTGTGCTGAGAGAGGAGGGCGGGGAGCGGCCACTTCCGGAGCTGGAGCCGCCCGGGCGGACCGACGGGCTCCGGGGCTGGGACCTGGGTAGCGGGACTCGAGCGGGGCGGCCGGCCCAGCCCGGCCAGGCCCGGCCTAACAAAAGGTGCGCCTCTTGGCCTTCGGGGCGGGTGCGGTTGCGGGCGAGGGCGCGGGCGCGCGCGGGGAGCCCTGGGGAGGCGAGCTTTGGGGCTGTCATTTTATTGTTGTGGCTTTTTTTTTTTGGACTGGAGGCTGTTGCACGAGGAGCATCTAGAAGCGCAGAAGCGGTGGTGATGCTTTGGGAAGCGGAGCTGGAACGCGCTGGGCTCCGGTGAGGCGTGCGGGTTTATCATGACGGTGTTCAGGCAGGAAAACGTGGATGACTACTACGACACCGGAGAGGAGCTCGGCAGGTACCAGGGTGCTGGAGGCGCGCGTCCCTGGGATGTGGAAATGTGTGGTACTGGGGCTGGGGTGGTGGTGGGGCAGTAAACAAATGCAGTTTGAATGGGTGGGTGGGGTGTCTCCCTCACCCTTCCAAGAAATGGGCGGATGCAGCAAAAGGAGAACCCGAGGAAGGCCTGGGACCAGAAATAAATCGCCTCAGCCCAGGAGGTGGGGGAGCAGCCGTGCCATGTGGCTGTGGTGCACTACACAGCGGTCGGACCTCCTGGACCAGCGCGGTGTGAATTCGTTCTCGGTCAGCCTTTGCCCCTCAGAGACAATGAAGCAAATGCTAGGACTCGGTTTGCAGCTACAGTTAGCTCGAGTGAGAATAGAATACTACAGATTAAGAGGTTTTAAATATTTTAATGCGGTAGATTCCAGCTTGGCTGATGTTGATGTTGAGCTTGGATTTTGAAACTCCCTCTGACTGGGAAGATCAGTGTTGGTGATTGTTTTGGTTTCATTTGCTTTCTAATGTTAAATCTTTACAATTCCATGAGAGGCTGCTGTGGCTATCTGGATGAGACATCCTAGATTTTAGGTGAACAGATTTCTTTTGAAGCATCTGAGGACTGCTGGCTGTTTCCTTTGAGCTTCCACAGAAGGTTTGAGCTCTGCTTTATGTTAGCCAAAAAAAACCAGTTTTTATGTCTACATTAAAATGTGGTTGATGGAGCTTGTGGTGTGGATGCCTTGTGAGGAAAGCAGGCAAAAGTATCTATAAACAAAAAGTACCTGTGTGTTTACAGTGTGTGTTGAAATTTGTATTTTTCCATGCACACCTGATGTCCCCATACAAAGCTTCCTTCCAAGAATTACTTAGAGGAATTACTAAAGTTGGGTTTAACTAAAAAATATTCAAAGGTTCATATGATAGTGAAAGAATGCAAGCAATTTTAAAAAAATACTGTTACAGATTACTTCTGTATATGTTTAATGTTGATCCAAAACATTGGTAGGAACATGTGCTGAGATTTAGTGAGGGAATAAGGAAAGCTCTGGAAAAATCACATTTCATGGACATGTTTAAGACGAAGGTATAAAAGTATGAGTTTGAAATACTTCGTTTAACCAGAAGCAAATCACTTTATTTCTGTAGTTTACAGCAAGCCAAGTGGTTTATGAAGTTTTCATTTGGGGTTAGAAAATAAAAAAAAAAGTGAAAAAATATATTTCAGTTCTATCTGTGAGGAAGTTCTGATTATGTAAATTCTGCTGTTAAGGAGAGATGACTGAAATTAAGGAATGAATATTGTTTTATTCAATATAAATACACTGGATTCAGTGTATTAAATATGTCTTTGTTAAGATCTCTTGGTAGAATTGTGTTAAGAAAAAGAAAGAAAAATGAAGCTTCCTGGAACTGAGGAGAGAAGTCTGGGATCTTCCTTTTGTGGGCTCAGTGACAGGGGAGGTGGTCTGCTCATTTGTCACTTGCCTTTGTCACTTTGATTGTGGCTGTCTTTATTTCTGTGTATAACTTTCTCCCCACTGTGAAAGACTAATTGCTGAAGTGGTTATTAAATAATTTATGTGACCTAGGAATTCCAAAGAAGTGCTCTGATAAACGGAATTGGGGATTTAGAAAAAGTAAATATACTTACCCACCTAGCTTGTATAGCTGAAATTGGCCCTTGCCAAAAGAAGGGGCAAATGCTTGACTTTCTCTGAAGGTTTTTGAAGTCTTGTGGCTTGTATGTCTGCCTGCCAGAAAACAAATCTTGATGGAAATGTAGGAAAGACACTGTGTGGAGGGGGATATGTGTCACTGTGAAGACAAAGGTGAAGGCTGGAGTTGAATGACTGAAAATGGCAATGGACAGGTATTTGGCACAAATTCAGGATTGTTTTTAAGAGGTGGGATATAGTTTCTAAGCAGTGAGTTACGAGCAGACCAACACCTACCATTTAAGGCTTTACCTCTGTATCTTTAGCCATCATCTAACGATAAGTGATAGCTACTCATCTGAGGAATGGACTCAGGTAAAGTCCATAGTTAAAGGACGGAAATGGGGTTTAAGAGTAGAATACATTTTATTGTTATTTTACTGTTAGAAAAATTGTGTGTGTGTGCTGCCCAAGACTTCTTTAAAACCTTTCTGCCAACTGTCAAGGACTTCGTAAAGTATTCTGACTTTACCGGTATTGTGTTGGAGGAATGACAAACTAAATGGATCACTGCACAGCCAGTCTGCTCCAAAACCCAGCTTAAAAACTTGCTAGGTTTATAGTGTTGAAAAGCTAACCTGACCCTTGGGATCCTAGTATGTGAATGAGAGGCCTGGTGCTTACTTTGTGGCTGTTGGGAAAATCAAGTAATATAAAATCAAGTAATAAAGTACGTACAAGAATTTCATTAGCAGTAGAAAGTCGAACAAATACAGATTTTACTCATAGGCCTGGCCAAAACTTTGGGTGTTCCAGGTTAGCCAACAGTGTTGTGTGAGCTGTCTGCTTCCTTTGAGCTGTGCTGGAGAAGGGCCTCTCTTTGCTGATTGTGGCAAACACTGCTCTAGCCTTGAGCTGTCACACCTTTCATGCAGAAGCAGGTTGCCCTGGTAAATAAGACTGATTGTCTTTAGAGGACTGTTTGGTGATCTTTGACTTTGACTCTAGGAGGCCCTCCAGGATCTAAACCCCTATCCAGGAGGCCAACAGAACTGCTTCCATCGTGGGCAGTAGTCTCCAAGATGAGTGCTTTTTAAATGTGGTTTTTCTGCCTCTCGTATTACCCTGGTGTGTTCATGCCCCAGGATGCCCTGCCATCTCTTTATCAGTTGGCATTTAGGGCAGCTGCAGGCTGGCTTGCCTCACTGTGGGCTCTGGTTACAACTTTGGCCTAACCTGGGAGCCTCCTCATACATAGGGTTCCTGAATGACTGGCCTTCTTTTCAGTCCCACTGTCTTACTTTGCATGATCTCAAGACGTAAGTCCTGGTTTCTTAATAAGCCATTGCAAGGGAAAAGATGATGTTTTCTCCTTTCAGGGACTAAATGACTTGTGCAAGACACTTCTTTGGTCCACAGCTATGCCCCCCCGCCCCCAATGACATGGTCCTCTGCTGGCTTTTTACTGTCTTGTGTTGCTTTTTGTTGGCCAGTAGGTTCCTTCGGGCTGCCCTTGGAGGTTCAGGTTGTTGCAGTCCATGCCCTTGAGGGTGTGCAGTGTGCAGAGGGATGAGCCAGTGGATATGGCTGGTATGACATGGAGACCACGGTGGTGATGTAAGGTGCAGGTAATGTAGATGTTGATGCTCTAGGAGAGGCAGTATGCAGTACGGAAGAGCCTTCACACACACTCAGAATGCCTGGAGATCCATGTGTTGGGAAGTATTGTGCGAATTCAGTGCCTCCAAACATGCAACACATTGTCATCTCTAATAGATTATATTTAGTAACCTGTTTGCCACACAGTTACATTTTATTACCCTGCTATTCTCTTGATGCTGTGACCTTGAACTTGTTCATCTTTTCAAAGAAAAATTCTAATGCCTTATTAGATGCATAGTAGCTAGTAGATGCCCAATAAGTTCATGCTGATTGAGTGACTGGATCCATATATGGAAAGCACCTTGAAAAATGTCTGAATATGAGGTCTTCAATAACTGATCACAATGGTGAAGATGAACACTTAGGACATAAATGTTGCAGCTCACAAAATAACAGCTGTTTTTGATTCTATGTTTTCTGTGGCTGAATAGTAATGAGCACAGCAGCCAAAACTTCCAAGCATAAGAACAGTTTTAAACAGAACAAATGAAGCGAAGCATTAAATATTTTACATTCATTTGGATGATGCCTGGAGGCTAATAATTCAAATTTATAGCATTCTCCTTTCGCATAAAATCCATAGGCATTTTAATTGAAGTAAGCAATCTCCCTGAATCCTGCCTGTGCATGTTTTGGTGTTCTAGTGAGTTTTGGTGGTGGCAGGAAGAGGTCCTGAGTGTAGTGACATCCTGTGCCCCTTTAAGAGGTACAAGTTTGGGGGGTTTCTTTGGAAGTGAAAATCACAGTGACTGCGATCTCATTGTGAGGGCTGTGTTGACTGTGGTTTTCCCTTTGGATTTCTGATTCAGAATGCTCTCAGGTGTTTCCTCTGATAGGAATGGTGGCAAAGTTTTAAGAGAGATAAAGTTCAAATCCAGTCATGAGCTGCATGCCAGTGTTTGTAATGGAGCTGAAAAGTTCCTGTCATATGATGATGTCATTGCCATTGTAAAATACGTTGCTTGACTCACTGCTACAAGTGCATGGTGACACTGGTGACAAACCTGCTGCTGCCAGTCTTGTGAAGTGTAGCATATACAATAATGTGCAGTACATGATGCTTGGTATTCTTAATAAATGACTTACTGATTCATGAGAGCCATACTTTTAGTTATTTTAGTGTGTGCTCTTATTAGAAAAAAAGTTGCCTGCGAAGCACTTTGCCTTATTATGCCAGCAGCAACCTCCTCTGAGTTGTACCTACGTCTGGTTTGCACTGTGAGACCCTAACGAGCAATCCACTTGGACCTGTGGGTTTGTGTACCTGTGCTCTTTGTGTTAGCACAGTGAAGATGCTGCATGTACCATGCCCAGCTCGCATTGTGTGAGGTGATTCCTGACTGTGCCTATGTTAGTGATTTCTGAAGCCTGGTGTGTTGCAGGAAGTCTAAGGATCTACTTCTGGGTGGTGTGGGTGGGTGGGGATGGTGTCAGGAATGGAGTTTGGTTGAATGTCACTGTCCATCACTGTGGCTGTGTTTCTGTGCTACTCAAGGTAGCATCACTAGGTTCAGGGGGGCCAAGTGGCAGAGGCTGTAAAATGTTTATTAGGCGAGGAAGGCAAGAGGCCTGACTTCCTGAAGTGCTATGGCTTTATTTTACTGTAGGCTGTCTCTTATACAGCTATTAGGGAAGTTGGATGCCAGTGACAATGATAAGCCCCAGCAGAGCCATGAAAATGCACTGTGAATTTATG